GCTACCCTATCATCCCGTTCATCCAAGGAAATAGTAGAGATTAGAAAGCGAAACCGGCAACACGCGCGGCGCCCACCTGACCCGACCACCTAACCCAAGTCCCGACCCCCGAACCCAGCAGCGCAGCGCAGCACAGCGTAGGGAAAACATGACCAAAAAAGGAAGTTGACTAACCCAAGCTATGAAGCCGTTAGTATGCATAAAACAGGCGTGGTTTGTTCATGGGGTTTGTTTCATTTCATTTCGTTCCGTTCCGTTATAAAACAGACATCTACGTAATCAAACCACAGCTCTACTACATGTAAGTACGCCAGAAGCTCTCAGCCCTCGCCTCGGGGAACCGGAGCCAGCCAGCCAGCCAAACACACAAGCAGACAAAGATAAGACCATATTAAATACAAGAACAAGCATCAAGCCTGTTCCCCACCTAGCCCTACGCGATAACCGGTAAGAAACACCATCCAGTCAGCCCGGGTAGTAAAAACAGGCCAGCCCCACTTCCAGCACACGCATGCCGTCTTTTTTCCCGCTCTGCCTCTGGCTCTGTGCTGTGCCGTTTTCAGTTGCTCACTCCGCTCTTTCGGTGAAACTGCATTTCCACATGGGGGGCGCATGGATGGGGAATACCGCACACCGACCGTATCACGCACCGTATACACATGACATGTAAGTAGTAGGTAGTAAGGTCAGCCCCTGCATCCCCAACTAGCCAAGCAAATATACAAAAGGAGCTAGTAAGGCGAGGTAAGGCTAGTACTGTAATCAGATACCCTAGTCCTACCTATCTCGTCCCGAGTGACCGAAAGGAAAATCAGGCCATATTATACCTTGCTTGCTTGCCTGCCTTGCCGCCCTCCAATTCACCATGCCGTGCCGTGCCGTATCGGTACATGAATACGTACGTACGTTTGAACCACACATGCCGACTTCGGTCCTTGACGCCAACCTACCGTAACATGACACCGTCCCGTTTCCATACCTCGCCATGCCACAAAAAAAGGAGATCGACGTTTCGATAGCCCGTCCTAAAATGATGTGCGCACTTGGTGTGCGCGGCGCGGTTGGTGTGCGCGGCGCGGAGGAATGGAAGAAAGGAAGTAGGGTTATGTACATGGAGTTGCGGGGGAATGGGCTGCGTGCGAGAGAGGGGGGGATAGATAGGAGTACCGTACCGTAGTAGGTTGATGCTTGTCTCCCTCTCCATCTCCATCACCTTCTTAGTCAAAACATCTATGCGACAACGGGGGTGAACAAGAGCTCGGACGAAATCAGAAGACCACACCAAGGGGTAGTGATAGATACCGAATATAGTCATTGTACGTATATGATGAACGATGATAACGTTTAGACATGCGTTAAGACAAACAATACAACGACCCCATCTAAAAACGGGGAGAGTGCAGTGGGAAAGAGAACCAGACCAGGGGGTATATGTGCAACAGCCTGATAAGTACGTAGCCCAAAACAACGACGATAACATGCAAAATGAAGAAGAACCCGAAATAATGTGATGATGTCATGAGGAGCAATGAGTTGTGTTGGATAAAAGGAGGAATGTGTTTGGATTGCTGATAGCCACTTGACTGCTACACTGTCTCTCTCGGACTAAAGGAGAAAGACAGGTGCGCAGTGTGGAAAGTACCGTCCGATTTCCCCTTGTTCCCGTTGCGTTGCGTTGCGTTGCATATGTGCTGTTCTTCCCAGTCTTGATAGTATGTATGCACGCTGTGCATGTTCGTTCATAATTGAGGGTATGCCAGATACCGGGGGCATGGGCACTCATACGTAAGATGCCAAGAGCCCATGGCCTAAAAAAAAATGCATCCGACCAAAAAAAGCGCCGTCAATGTAAAGGATTGAGCAGACTAAGAACATTGCTCCATGAGGGTGTAGGGGGGAGGATCAAGGTGGAGGTGACGGCGGGGAGGAAGCCGAACCCCGATTTGGAACAAAACCAATGCCAAGAAAGCGTAAAACGGGCAAGGTCGATAGAGACAATGGAGAATACAGCTCGGGTTATAAGTACAAGGAAGTAAGACCGGAACCAGTCCGTGTCTTTATCTGTCTGATGAAGTTTATAGAAAAGAAAAATCAAGTATTGAAGAATTTGCCTCAAAAGAGTAGGCGTCGACCGACGCTTGAACGTGGTCAAGAAGAAGAAGTATTGATAAATAAATGGCGCGCGCCGAAAATGTGCCGGTAGATGTTGTTCAAGTATAGTCGGGTGCAGCCGGACGGACAGACAAGCCAGCCAGCCAGCACCACAATTGTCGGCTAAGCAAGCATAGCTGACAACTTCAACCGGTGCAACTACACAACCAACGTCCGCCTGGACGTACAAATGGTCTTGTGCTTCGCATGCGTGCGGGGTCGACTACGCACACACACACGGAGCGGCGGCAGCGGCGACGGGCGACGACTGCTCAAGAAGAAAAGCGGCACTTCCTCAATGTACAGTATAACAGCCGGGATGAGGGAGGCGAAAACAACGCCGCTTATGTGGAGACTGCCTAATAGCAGCCAACATCGGTTCAGCTTGCTCGGTTTTGCCGTAAACGAACAAGAAAAAGGTTGAATATGGAAAATCGTTGGAATCCTGGGAGCTCGCCCAAGCGTGGGTGCGCCGTCTTAAGACGCCAGTTATAGCCGGCATGTCGTCCAAAAACGTTGT